TGTTTACTGACTGTTTAATGAGAAACTATTCTGTAAACCCTCACCTGAAGTACAATTAAAAAAAAAAAGTTAGCAAGCAGCCATCTAAGATTGGTCCCAACGCACCTGAAGTGAAGGAAAATGAAGAACACTAAAGACACAAGGAAATTATTAGCACAAGAGACAGACAGGGCCACATAAACCAGAGACTTCATCAATGTGAGACCAGAAGAACTAGATGGTGCCCAGTTACCACCACTGACTGCCCTGACAGGGAACACAACAGAGAGTCACTGATGGAGCAGGAGAAAGGTGGGGTGCAGAACTCAAATTCTAGCAAAAAGACCAGACTTAATGGTCTAACTGACACTGGAGGACCCCAGAAAGCATGGCCCTGGACTCTCTGTCAGCCCAGAACTAAAACCATTCCCCAGGCCAACTCTTCAGACAAAGATTAGACTGGACTGTGGGACATAAAATCATACTCGTGAAGAGAGTGCTTCTTAGCTCAAGTAAATACATGAGACTAAATGGGCAGCTCCTGTCTGGAGGTGAGATGAGAAGGCAGAGAGGGTCAGGAGCTGGTTGAATGGACATGGGAAATCCGGGGTGGAAAGGAGGAGGTTTCTGTCACAGTATAGGGAGAGCAATTAGGGTCACCTAACAATGTATGTATAAATTTTTGTATGAGAGACTAACTTGAATTGTAAACTTTCACTTGAATTACAACAATGAAAGAAAAAATTATAGAAGAAAACATTAAAAAAAAAAAAAATTTCCTCTATGCTGCTGATTCCATGATGTACCAGTCTCTGGACCAATTGGGATCTGAAGTTCCTCAAACACTGGTTGTTTTGACTTTAAACTCTATACCTGCAATTCCGCATGCTACCACCAGGTGAGCGTTGAGATTACACAAACTATCAAAACTTTAAACCTAGACTTCTAATTAAAATACACTCTAAATTAAAACAAGATACATTCATACTTACATACACACATATATTTCTTAATTTATCATATTGGCCTAGATTAAAAAGTATGATAATATCCACAGTTGGCCAGGGTTTGGGGGAAACATGTAGTATTCATACACCGTTGGTGGGAATGTAAATTAGTATGGCCTATTGGAGGACGATTTGGCAATGTTCATCAAAAGCCTTAAACATGTGCAAACCCTTTGGTCCAGCAACTCGACTTCTAGACCTTCATTCTAGGGAGATAATCATGGAAACGAACCTAAATTTGTTCCCAGGATGCTAACTGTAATGTTGAAACATTGTAAATATAAATAATATAACTTGGAGACTGGTTACATAAATTATACATATGATCAAATACCATGTGGCCATGGTATAAAATTATATTCTATAAGAATTTTTAATGATGTGGAAATATCTCATGATATATTAATTGGAAAAAAATAGGCTACAAAAAGTATATCCACTGTAATGCCATTTTTATAACAATAAATAGAAAAACAGACTTGCATAATAAAAAATGTGGAAGAACAAATACCAAAATACTGAGAGAACTTATCTGTGGGTGGTAGGATCATGGATAATGGCTTTTTCCTTCTTTGTGTTTTTCTCTTATTTTTCTGGATGTTTTACAGTAAATATGATTTTATTGTAATGAACACCGGGGGGCAGGAAGGACAGGCCCGTCTCTGCACAAGGAGGGCACAGACAAGGTGACCCCGGGCCCTTGTTGGCTCTGATTTCCACAGTCTGCCCAATGGACCCCTTGGTTTTTATGCCCTGTGTCTCCTAGACACTCCCATTTGGTCCACATAAGGACCTGGTTTCAGCTGGTTTCACTCAGGGAAGGGGGGCAGCCTGGGCTACTCCAGAAAACACAGCTGACATAGTCTCCACCACCACCTTCCTGCTCCACTCTTTTCGTATTCTTCCTTCCCCTTAGGAAGTGACAAGCTTTGAGCACAAAGGAAAAATCCTCCCTGAGGCTGGTTTTAATGTTCACTAACCTGCAGCAAAACACCTTTTTCTAAAACTGATCATCCTCAAAGTCTTTTTCTTTCCAAATCCTGCAAACGTACAATGAGTAAGCTAGAGCTGTTTTTTTAAGCCTGTCTTTCCCTCTTATTGAGAGGCTACTGCATGTCATGCAGGTGCGCCTGACCCAAGCCATGGTCTTTCAATCCCCTCATATGCCTGCGAAAACTGGACAATGAATAAGGAAGGCAGAAGAAGAATTGATGCCTTTGAATTGTGGTGTTGCCAAAGAATATTGCAAATTGACTGCCAGAAGAATGAACAATCAGTCTTAGAAGCAATACAACCAGAAGGCTCCTTAGAAGCCTTACTTTGCAAGTGTCATCTGGAAAGACCAATTACTAGAAAAGCACACCATGGTCAGTAATCATCAAAAACGAGGGAAACCCTCAATGAGATGGATTGACATAATAGCTGCAATAATGAACTTAAACAGAACCAGGCAACGATTCGTTCCATCGTACGTGGGGTCGCCATGCATTGGAGCCAACTCCACACAACTAACAACGACAACTGCATGTTGAGCCTGTTGAACCTGGACATGAGGTTCTATGATGTTATTTCATCCTCCAACTCTGCAGGGGGATTATTCCCAGCTTCCCAGAGGCTAAGCACTCTGCCTATGTCCACATAGTTGGGACAGGATTTGGACTCGGGCCTGGCTGACTAGAAGTCCATGGTGACACTTTCCACACGAGGTACCCCCTCTGCAGCCCAGGCCCCCCAGCGCTGAGGCCATTGTCCTAAACTTGAAGATGACCATATGGAGCTGTTGGTAAATAAATCCCAGGTTGGGGCCAGGCAGAGCCTCCTTGCACCCGATCGGCCAAGAAATCTGAATTTCTGCTCAAAACACATGGGTCCCATGGCCTGACAGGAGGACCGTCCACCATGGGACTGCCTCTCTTCCACAGGGGAAGCACACAGGTTTTGTCCCCACCCTGTGGGTCTCCTGAAAGTCAGGACAGCTCATGTGGCAGTGCCAGAACACGGTGCTTGGAGCACACAGCTGGCCGAGCTGGTGTGCTGGTAGTGCTGGCCACATGCAGGCCCTGAGCCCAGCTGGGGCCGGCCCAATCAGGGAGACATCCAGAAGTGTGTGCAAGCATGGCTGGACGACCTTGGGCAAAGGTGCATTGTCTGTCCTGGCCTCGGTGAAATCGTGGGCTGTGAAGTCAGCTGCCAGAGGATTTTGACGGGTCCCCTACTGCTTGGGCTGCCTGGTTCAGCCTGTTGGGGCTCCCCAGAGACCAAGGGTACTGGCTTCCAGAGCTGTCTGCGTGCAAAGAGTGGCCCAAGACCACCAGTTGCTGTCCTGTCGACTCTGACTCATGGCAACCCCAATGTGTCACAGTAGAACTGTGTTCCACAGGGTTTTCAATGGCTAGTGTTTTGGAAGTAGATCGCCAGGCCTTTCTTCCAAGGATCTTTGGGTGCATTTGAACTGCCAGCCTTTCAGTTAGCAGCCAAGCACATTACTGTTTCCACCAGCCAGGGACTCCAGTCCCAAGATGAAAGGCTAAAAATATTCCAGTGAAAGACTATGGTTCTCACAGACTGTTGAGGCACACGGATGCACAAAGGCTCCACTGGCCAGGAAGGGGGCGCGGACTCCTGCTTCATCAGGACAAGCTGCTGGGGAGCTGTGGTGGGACCCTGACCCCCAGGTGCTCCTGCAGGATGAAAGTGGATCCTGGCTGGTTTTGACATTTTGTTCTTTGTGTCTTCCTTCTCCTGTGTTCTGAGACTTCATCTGCAGGGCCAGATGCTTCTGCTCTGAGTGGCCAGGCTGCCTGCTGCCCAGGAGGCGCTGCCCTGACTGCCTGGGAGACCCCAGGCTCTACCCTGGGCCGTCTACGGGGCCACTCTGGGCACAAGGCAAATGCTCCCAAAGTTCCACTGACTCCCGGACGGCGGGGTTGTAACACACTTTGTGTTTTATGTGTAGCTGTCACCTCCCTGGTCTTGTTTAATCCCAATGGCAACCCCTCCAGGGAGGCATTCATCAGTCCATTTCACTGAGGGGGAAGCTGAAGCTCAGAGAGGGTGAGTGCCTTCCCCAAGGTCACACAGTGAGGAGGCAGCAGAGTTGCAATCCAAGCCCAGCTCTCCCTGGTGCTTGGGGATGGTGGTGCTTGGAGTTGGATTTTCCTCCAGAGCCTCCCACGAGGGCAGCTCCTGCCAGGACTGGGGACCATCCTCCTCCATTTCCAGCCTATCCTGATTCTGGATAGATCTGGCCACTACAAAGGCTTCTGAATCAACAAGCACCCCCTACCCCTGCAGCTTCCTGGCACAGAAGCCACAGAACAAATTGACCCCTAACATGATGGTCCAGTCTCTCCTTCCACTGGGCCAACCCTCTCTGCTCTTCCTGACATCTCGGCACTTCTAGATGCTGCCCTCCTGGTTCCTAACCTCTGTGCAGGACGGGACAGCTGCAGTCACATTTTAGCTTACTTCTGATGTGGAGCTTGGTGGCCTGGGCTGGGGACGTTTATTCCAAGTATAAGCTAACTTTTAGGTTTACTTGTAAAAGATTTAAGGCATGATGACACCATAGAGGCTGCACTGGGACCCACCAGTCTTCCCCTTTCTGAGAGGTGACACAGCACAGAGGGCTGGGACCTGGAGCCTCCCTGCCCACTGGGACAAGGCTGGTAGCCACACCTGTCCTGGAGGACACTTTGCTACCCAGGGCTGGGCCCTCGCTCTGGCTGATGGGCTGGGTAGGGAAGCAGTGTCTGGTGGTGGACTCTGCATCTTTGCTTTGCCTCCAGGGCAGTGGGGCTGCAGACAGTGCCTGCTCGGCCTGGACCCTGCAGCCCAGCATGCCGGTGTGCCTCCTCAGAGTTCATGCTAATGCCCTCCACAGACAGGCCATGTCTACTCAGGAGCAGAGGAGGAGGAAGAGAGGAGCGCAGACAGAGTTGAAGAAAGGCTCAGGGGGAGAATATTGGCTTAAGAGACGAAGGCAAAGAGAGCAAAAAATAAACGGCAAATTACCGGGTAGCCGTCTCGTCCTGATTGCCCCTGTGGTAATTAATATGTCATTAATAATCAGACTTTGAGCAGAAAACCATATGGCAATGCTTAGAACTCAATCAAGGCCCCAGACCCCGCCACGTTCCGTGTGGTTTGCAGCAGAGGCTGCTGGTTGGTAACTCAGTCCCGGAGGGCAGGGGAACACCAGGGCTCCGACGGGTCTAGGGGTAAAAGCACCCTTTTTCTGCCTCCCTGGGCCAGAGTGGAGGGGCCACGAGCCTTGGGGCTTCATCAGGGGTCCTGCGCACATCACCCGGGGCACATGGCAAAGGCACATGGGAAGACGGGGTTCTGGAGGGCAGTGTCACAGCCCCCATGATCTAACCAGGAACTTTTCAATCAATGCGCTTTCAATCAGGGCTGCTGAGGGGCATGGAGGGCTGATAACTGGTTTCTCCCTGCTGTCACAGGGATGGGGTGAACCGAGAATCAGAGCCTTAGAAACTGGAGATAAGGACTACTCGGTGCTTTTCTGTCCCCAGAGCAGGCCAGGCCTGCTGGGCAGTGACCACACCAACACCCCGCACGTCAGACAACCCTCCCTTCTCCAGGCCCCTGTTGAGGTTGCAGCTTGAGAACTCTGCATTTGTCTCATACATTTACTATTTTAACAGCCAGATTTAGGGGGAAAAAAAAAATCCCTCACCAGCACTCTGTGTTATGTACGTCGGCGAGCTCACACAAGCTAGCTTCCATGTGACAGCCAGAAATAACTCATCAGTGAAAAACTGCTCATGACCAATAAATCCGCAAATGTTTGTTTGCTTGCTTTTTGGCTCATTGCAGCGCTGCATGCACCGAGGAGCCCAGATCCCGATGGGTGCTGATCGGGACATGAATCATGTCAAGTGGAAGTCAAAAAAAGAAAATTGCTCTTCCGAAAGGAATTCCTTCAGAAAGTTAATTTTGGCTCAAGCTGGCTGTCAATGTGCTTCTTGAATTGATTCATCAGGATTTATTGAGCTCTGCAAAATGGCCAAGGCGAATCAAAGCCAGACAGATCCCATGCCCCAGAGAATGTGATTTCCAGGGCCGCTGACAGCCAACCCTGTCTTCAACGCCACCTCAGACAGCCAAGGAGAGTTCAGGGGGCAGCCCCGCCCCGCCCCTCACCCCTTCTCAAACTCAGAAGCATTTTCCCTCTGCGGCCATCTGAACATCCTTGCTGGCTGGCTGTGTGTGTGAGCACTGAGCTGTCCAATTCAGGGAGTAAAAAGTGTTTTGGTATTTGTTCTGTAAACCTTCATCTAAAGTACAATAAAAAAGAAAAAAAAAAAAATGTTTTGGCAAACGAGGAAAATGAACCCCAGGATCTAGTGATCAAGCCCTACTTACTCCTAGAATAATCGCCTGACTTGAGAGCCCCTCTGCCAAAGCACATGAGACAAAACATTTAAAAATACCAACTGTGGCAGGGCATTTAAAAAATGGAGGCATGGTTAAGTGGGCACCTCATGATGTGCAATCTAGTATGTAGAGTGTTCATCAATCAATGGGACAAGATACGACCTTGTTCCTGGAAGAAATTTTGGAACTGAATACAAATCTGCAAATAAAGCATATTAAGCAGTGAGTAGTTGAAAAAAAAAAATATGGGCATGGTGCTTGGATTTCTATGCACCTGGTTGACCAAAGATTTGGTGACGATCAGCCAGGCTCATGCCAGCTCTCTTGGAAGGAAAATGGCCACAGAACATTCCAAGGGGACATCGAGCTGGCGGAAATCTGTGATTATATTCATGTACAGATAAATAAAATACACTGCCCTTATCAGGACTGAGTTTTTTAAGATACACCTCTCTAACCAAAAATTATTTTCATGGAAGTGTTAGAAAGAGAAGAAAATGTCTTATCTTTCAGGAGCAGAGAGTACAGTCCAGGACACTTACTGGAGGACCTGCAAAACACAAGCAGAGAGGCCATCATCAGATCATAGGGAAGAGCGTCCCCTCACCCATGTCAGCCCCTCCCTCAGCACGGCTATGGGCCACCCGTCCCCGTTCCCCGCAAGGCTTTGATGCCATCACGAGCTGTTTCCTGCCATGGTCTTGCAAACAAGTGTCAGCCGAAAAGCCAATTGGCAGAGTGGAGGGAGCCACCAGGGTGGGCTCTGGGTGACAATGACAATCCCCATGGTTATTGGTTCATTCACTCATTTAGTGAAGCTGCTGATTCTTGCCTGGTGCTCACTCATGTTGGGTAATGGCAACTGGGTAGGAATCAGCGCTTGTTGCCGCTTGAAGGAAAAGCACTGGTGTTCACAACGGGCCAAGACTTGGGGGAGAAAACACATTGGGCAGAGGGAAGGACCTGTGTGAGGGTACAAGGATGTGGGAGGCTGAGCAGGTGTTCGAGGCATCGTGCCCAGCCCAGGCTTGGGTGCGGCTGAGCTGAATGTGCACGGGGAAATTGAAGGGGGTGAGTCCAGGAGCACAGGTGGTGCTGGGGCAAGGGCTGGTGCAGGAAGCCAAGACTTGTCCTTGGTAGATGAGGACTCACAGAAGAACAAGGATAAGAAACCCACAGGGGTCCTCACCTTAAAGTTTGCAAAGCATGTTTCATAGCCATTGTTGCATTTGATCTTCTCAACAATCTTTTGTGAGAAGTGTGATCTACATGTCCATTTTGAGGCTTAGAGAGAAGTGACTTGTTGAAGGCCACATGGTCGGTTACAGGTGGAGCTCATTCTGGAATGAGGTCTCCTTACTCTCAAACTCCTACACACTTTCCGCTAACCACGCTGTTGCCAACCAGTAACGTCTCTGCTCCCCATCGGACCCGGAACCTAAACTCTGGAGCACAAGGCCGGAACAGGGAGGCAGCGGTCAGCCAACAATGTTTATGGAGTGCCAAGCATGAGCTGGACACTGTTACAGGTAAGTATTTGGTGTTGTTGTTAGGTATCGTTGAGTCGGTTCCGACTCATAGCAACCCCCTGCACAACAGAATGAAACACTGCCCGGTCCTGGACCATCCTCACAATCGTTGTTATGCTTGAGCCCATTGTTGCAGCCACTGTGTCAATCCATCTTGTTGAGGGTCTTCTTCATTTTCGCTGACCCTCTACTTTACCAAGGTAAGTAAATCGGATATACAAAAATCCTACCCATTGCCATCAAGTCGACTCTGACTCATAGTGATGCTGTAAGACAGAGTAGAATGCACCATAGCGTTGCCAAGGCTGTAATCTTTACGGAAGCAGACTACCACATCTTTCTCCCGTGGAGCAGCTAGTGGGTTCGAACTGCTGACCTGTCGGTTAGCAGCTGAGCATTTAACCACTGAGCCACCAGGGTGGTGCTAGAATTCTCATTAAACAGATAGATACTTAGATACTTAAGAAAACAATCACACAGGTCGGAGAAGCACAGCGAGCTCCAAGCGTATAACGAGGGGCCTGCCTGGGCTAGGCAGACTCAGCAAGGGAGGAGAGGCTGAGCCCAGAGGATGAGAGATTCTCTGGATGAGGAAGGGGGAAGGAAAGCTCAGGTACATGTTCAGAACATGCCAAGATTGGAGGGCTTTTGCAGAGCTAGAGGAAGTCAGTTTATACAACACTGTGACTGTAATCGATGCCACTGAATTGTATACTTAAGAATTGTTAAAATGGCAAATTTTATGATTTATATATTTAACCCAATTAAAAAAAAAAGAGGTGTTCACCGTCACTGTCTATAATTTCTCATCTTCCACTTACCTAGAAACTCTCTCTGATTTGAATTCCATCCTTATCACTCCACCAAAACAGCCCTCACCACAGTCTCTAACGACCCGCCTCCATGTCACTAAACCCACACATCTTTCTCATCCTCGTTTCACTCGGCCTCTAGGCAGCACCCACAGTGCACCACTCCCTACTGTCTTCCCTTGGCTTCCAAAATATCACCTTCCTCCCACTTCCCTGGCTGCTCTGTCTCTTTAGCTGCCTCAGTCTCCCCTACTAGCCTTCAACGTGAGAGTTCCTCAAGGCTCATGTCTAAGCTTTCTTCTCTTCAGTCTTCTCCCCTGCTCATCACGTCTATCCCATCTTCCTAGAGGATCCACTACAATATGCAGATGAGTCCCAAATATCTTTTCCCCGACCAGGCCATGCCTCTGACTCCCAGACTCCCTTTTCTAGTTGCCTACTTGACATTTCCCCTTGAATAATTAAAATATACCAAACAAATGTCCAAAACCACACTCATGGTCTTCTGACCACAAACTTGCTTCCATAGTGTCTGACCTTGATGGATGGTATTACCTTCCATCCAGTTGTGTGATCTGGAAAATAAAGATTCACCTTCAAAATGCTCACTCTCTAATCTACTAGCATATCTGTTGTTTGTTCCTCTGGAATCCATCTGCTTATCTCTCTATCCAATAGCATAACTCTAATCCATGTTACCACCATCCCTAGGCTATGGCAATAACTTTCTAACTGGCTTCCCTCCTCATTCATTGCACAGATATTTATATTGGTGGTTCAGTGGTAGAATTCTCGATTTCCATGAGGGAGACCGGGGTTCGATTCCCTGTCAATGCCCCTCATGCTATGATGCTGCACAGGCTTCAGCAGAGTTTCCAGGCTAAGATGGACTGGGAAGAAAGGCCTGTGTGATGGTTAAGGTCGTGTGTCAACTTGGCTGGGCCATGATTCTCATTGGTTCAGCAGTTGTATGATGTTGTGATCACTTCCATGATGAAATTTGATATTATGTGATCACCTCCACGATGAGATGTGCTGTGAGTAGCCAATCAGTTGAAAAGGAGTTTCCTTGGCCATGTGGCCTGCACTGAATATAAATGGAGGTTCTGACAAGGCTTGTGGGCTTTTGCTCATTTTGGATTCTGCAGCTGGCTCCTGTTCTTCTGGCCTCTGGTTCCTGGGACTTGAGCTAGCAGCTTATCTGTGGTCTTGCCTGCTAGTCTTGGGATTTTTTTATCTTCGCAGCCTGTGAGCAGGAGCCCTGCTCTCTGACCTGCTGATCTTGGGTTTGCCAGCCCCTGCGGCTGTGTGAATCAGGAGAGGCCTCTATCCTGACCCATGGACTTGGGACATCCACCCTCTGCAACCGTGTGAGCCATTTCCTTGATATAAATCTCTCTCTTGATATATATTTACACGCTTTACTGGTTTTGCTTCTCCAGAGAACCCAAACTAAAATAGCCTGGTAATCTATTTCCAAAAATAAGCCAATGAAAACCCTACAGATCACATGGTTCGATTTGCAACTGATCAGGAAGATGGTGCAGGACCAGGCAGCATTTTGTTCCATTGTGCATGGGGTCACCAGGAGTCAGAGGCCAATTTGACAGCAGCCAACAACAACACTCAGACAATCGATGGGTTTCCTTTGTCGCTGGCATCAGGTTGGGGTGGGCTCCCGTGTTTCAGGCAAAAGGTGTAGCATATGTTAAGCCAAAAGACAAGCAAACAGAGTTTGTGGTGGAGCTGAATGCTGAATTGTCCAGCCCTGTTCTAGGCACTTGGGATGCAGCAGTGAAAGTACCACAGATCCTTGTCCTATTGGAGCATACATGAGAGAGAGGCAGATGAGATGCAATAAGCATAATAAGTACATTACCTAGAAAATGATAAGTGCATGGAAAAAAAGAGGTAGTAGAATAGGTAAAAGGGTCAGCAGTTTGAATCCATCAGCCGTTCCTTGGAAACTCTGTGGTGGCAGTTCTACTCTGTCCAATAGGGTCGCTATGAGTCGGAATTGACTCAACGGCAACAGTTTAGAGCAGGGTAAGAGGGAACTGGAATGCTGGGGGTAGATTGGAGTATTTTATAAAGTGGTCAGGGTAAGCCTCCTGAGGTAGCATTTGAGCAAAGGTTTGATGGACTTGTAGGACTTGGCCATGCAGATTTCTGGAAAAAATGCATGCCAGGCAGACGGAAGAGCCAGTGCAAAGGCCGAGAGCAGGAGGGTGCCTGGTGTGTTTAAGGAGCATCAAGGTGGCCAATGAGGCCAGAGCAGAGTGTGTGTGTGTGTTGGGGGTGGGGGTGGGGTGTCTGGGGGGGAGTAGTGGGAGGGGGCTCAGAGAGGTAATGACGGGGGCGGGGCAGAGTGGATGGGCCTTGCTAGCCATTTTTAGGACTTTGTCTTTTCTCTGAGATGGGAGCCCTTACCAAAAAAAACCTGTTGCCATCCTTGCAGGCAAAATTAAAAAAAAAAAAAAAACCCATAAAAATCCTAGCAGAAAATGTGGAGAAATTCCTTTATACCTTTGGAAAGGGGAAGGCTTTTCTGACTAAAGCTCATGATCCAGAAGCCATAAAAGAAAAACCTGATCCAACCAAATATAAACAAAAATGTCTGCAAGGCAAAAAGCACCGTACCAAAGCAAAAAGCCAAACTGGGAAAAATAAGTTTCTAACTCATGTCACAAAGGATAGCTACCTTGATATAAAAATGCTTCTACAAAGTGAATCTAAAACAGCTACCCATTAAACCAGTTGCTGTTGAGTGGATTCCGACTCATAGCGACCCTATAGACAAAGTAGAACTGCCCCATAGGGTTTCCAATGGGCAGCTGGTGGATTACAACTGCTGACCTTTTAGTTAGCAGTCATAGCTCTTAACCACTGCACGACCAGAGCACACTTCACTAGGAGGAGGATAAATTGGTCCATTCTCTATAGAGAGTGATTTGGCAATATCTACTAAGATTCAGGGGGAGGCATTGGTGGTTCAGTGGTAGCAATTATGGATAACATATGCGAAGAATGGGAATTCCAGAACGCTTAATCGCGCTCATGTAAAAGCTTTTCACAGACCAAGAGGCAGTCGTTTGAACAGAACAAGGGGATACTGCATGGTTTAAAATCAGGAAAGGTGTGGTCAGGGTTGTATCATTTTGCCATATTCATTCAGTTTGTATGCTGAGCAAATAATCCGAGAGGCTGGA